TGACAAGAGGAGTTCGAATGATTCCCTAACATCATCGTGGGTTTCTTCTCATTTCCCTCCACATGTCTGTCTTTAAATATGACTTTATCCCGTTCTTACTCATTTTTTATAATTTTTCCAAAGATAATGGCAATATAAATACATTTACCGAAACACTTGCTAACGCAAACACTTCTACATCCACTCATCCGTATAGTCAAGAAGGCACGTCGGCAGCTCTACTTCCTCTGGCGGTTGAGGAGAGCTGGGAAGCTCAGTCCTCACCTCCTTCTACAGGTGTGCAGTGGAGAGCATCCTGTGCTCCAGCATCAACGTGTGGCATGGAGGCTGCACAGCTGCAGAAAGAAAAGCTTTGCAGAGAGTGGTGAAGGCTGCACAGAAGTCTGTTGGAGTCAGTCTCTCCACCATCACAGACATCTACACCTCAAGATGCAGGAAGAGGGCCACCTGCATCATGAAGGACCTCACTCACCCAGTACATACACTTTTTGCTCTGCTCCCTTCAGGCAGGAGGTTGTGGAGCATTAAGTGCAGAACCACTAGACTGAGGAACAGCTTCAGACTCATGTTCAGGCTGCTGTGTAATACACCTAATTTATATCATATTACAATATATATTGTTTCTTTTTTTATACTTTTGTATTTTGGCTATTTTGAGGTGTAACTGGGACCTTGAGTGCACAATTTTGTTCCACCTCATGCACCACATACAGGTCCTTCTAAAAAAATTAGCATATTGTGATAAAGGTCATTATTTTCCATAATGTAATGATAAAAATGAAACTTTCATATATTTCAGATTCATTGCACACCAACTGAATTATTTCAGGTCTTTAATTGTTTTAATACTGATGATTATGGCATACAGCTCATGAAAACCCAAAATGCCTGTCCCAAAAAATTAGCATATTTCATCCCACCAATGAAAGACAAGTGTTTTTAATACAAAAAACGCCAACCTTCAAATAATCGTGTTCAGTTATGCACTCAATACTTGGTTGGGAATCCTTTTGCATGAATGACTGCTTCAATGCGGCGTGGCATGGAGGCAATCAGCCTGTGGCACTGCTGAGGTGTTATGGAGGCCCAGGATGCTTCGATAGCGGCCTTAAGCTCATCCAGAGTGTTGGGTCTTGCGTCTCTCAACTTTCTCTTCACAATATCCCACAGGTTCTCTATGGGGTTCAGGTCAGGAGAGTTGGCAGGCCAATTGAGCACAGTAATACCATGGTCAGTAAACCATTTACCAGTGGTTTTGGCACTGTGAGCAGGTGCCAGGTCATGATGAAAAATGAAATCTTCATCTCCATAAAGCTTTTCAGCAGATGGAAGCATGAAGTGCTCCAAAATCTCCTGATAGCTAGCTGCATTGACCCTGCCCTTGATAAAACACAGTGGACCAACACCAGCAGATGACATGACACCCCAGTGACTGTGGAAACTTGACACTGGACCTCAAGCAATGTGAATTCTGTGTCTCCTCTCTTCCTCCAGACTCTGGGACCTTGATTTTCAAAGGAAATGCAAAATTTACTGTAATCAGAGAACATAACTTTGGACCACTCAGCAGCAGTCCCAGGCGAGATGCTTCTGACGCAGTCTCTTGTTCAAAAGTGGCTTGACCTGGGGAATGCAGCACCTGTAGCCCATTTCCTGCACACGCCTGTGCACGGTGGCTCTGGATGTTTCTACTCCAGACTCAGTCCACTGCTTCCGCAGGTCCCCCAAGGTCTGGAATCGGCCCTTCTCCACAATCCTCCTCAGGGTCCGGTCACCTCTTCTCGTTGTGCAGCGTTTTCTGTCACACTTTTCCCTTCCCACAGACTTCCCACTGAGGTGCCTTGATACAGCACTCTGGGAACAGCCTATTCGTTCAGCAATTTCTTTCTGTGTCTTACCCTCTTGCTTGAGGGTGTCAATGATGGCCTTCTGGACAGCAGTCAGGTCAGCAGTCTTACCCATGGTTGAGGTTTTGAGTAATGAACAAGGCTGGGAGTTTTTAAAAGCCTCAGGAATCTTTTTCAGGTGTTTAGAGTTACGTCGTTGATTCAGATGGTTAGGTTAATAGCTTGTTTAGAGAACCTTTTCATGATATGCTAATTTTTTGGGACAGGCATTTTGGGTTTTCATGAGCTGTATGCCATAATCATCAGTATTAAAACAATTAAAGACCTGAAATATTTCAGTTGGTGTGCAATGAATCTGAAATATATGAAAGTTTCATTTTTATCATTACATTATGGAAAATAATGACCTTTATCACAATATGCTAATTTTTTGAGAAGGACCTGTATGATGCAAATGATAAAGTCTCCTTGAACCTTCAGAAGAGTTGCTGCTGACGTTGACTGAAGAAGAGGTGGATAGTGGGCAGACAGGTAGACCATAATATTCCCAGCTACAGTCAACTCTGTCGGTCACCTTACATTGAATGTGTGTGAAAAAAAAACATGAAAACTCCTCGCTGATTGAACCCAGGCGCATAGTTGGACCGCGGACTCTCAGACTGAGGTGAGCTTTAAAGCAGTGGTTCCCAACCCTGGTCCTTGAGGAACACCGTCCTGCATGTTTTACTTGTCTCCCTGCTTTGACGCACTTGATTTGAATGAATGGGTGATTAACCGGCTTCTGCAGAACTTGAAGTAACTAATTCACTGAATCAGGCACGATGGAGCAGAAAACAATTGAAACATGGTGTTCCTCAGGGACCAAGGTTGGGAACCACTGCTTTAAAGAAACTGAATCTTTTACAACGGAACTCTTCTTCAGCTGCTTCATAAACGTTCAGTTCCAGGCTGTAAGAGAGATCAGTGTAAGACTGATTGTGCTTTGCATGTGATTTTTTTCCTCTTTGTGCAGATTTTGAGTTTTTCAGTGACGGTTGGGCTAAAAAATATGAGTTGTTGCCAGTCAGATAGTTTTCATATGTTGTTGCTTGTTGGATCAGAATTTGACAGAACCTGTCTGTGTTCCTGAATCCATCAGTCATGACAGGATGTCAATGCTGAAAAACAGCCCTGACAGAACATCTTTGTGACTTGACACCCTTTGGCCTTGTTTTTCCCTCTATTTTCATTCCTTAAGAGTGTTTTGTGTTTTTAGACATCCTTCTACTGAAACATTTTCTGAACTAAAGACTCTCTCAGGTTCTGTTTCAGGTCTTTACTGGATTTCTTTTGTTTCTTAAAGACAGGACTTTCAGACACCGTTCATCTCTAAACATACAGGCTTTGCATGTTTTTCATTCTCCATTATTTCAGTTTCTTTATTTTTTAAGGACACACAAAAGACTGCCAAGTTTACAGCTAACAGCTCTTTTTAATGTCTGTCAAACGAGTCATTTTCAGATTCAACTAAAGAAAAGGGAACAAATTGTGTTTGTGACAGAATACTGGTGACAAAGTGTCCAAAAATACCATTTAAAACTGCCAATTTCTCCAAAATGTTACATTAGAAATGGTCACGTACTGGACTGAGAACGAGCAAAGACAATTTGTTTGAAGATAAAATAAAGTCTTGAAAAGATCCTCACAAAAAAGATTAGTTTTAAAAAATCAGTTTAAAAACGACCTTTTTAAATCTAAGGTTGGTTTTTTTTGTCTAAGACCAAGTCAACAAGGGAATCAAACTGATATTAAATTTCTCTACAAAGCCGTGTCCATCTTTAAATAGCTCAGCACTTTTAAAGTGTGGTTCTGTGGTACGGGTATGAACAAATTATCTTACCTGTTACAGATAGCTTTGTGAACAGCCTCAGTTTAGTTTAGCTCTGACGAGATTGATGCGTCCAAGCAGAGCTGAGACTAAAATCATCTGCAAACAACTTGATTCTCAAAACTTTCACATGAACGCAGTTTAGAAAATCTTTACATCGCCGTCAGGTTTGTACATTAGCACTTATGTTGAGTACTGTGGCTATTTACACAGGCAAATAGTGACAGCAGTAACTTGCTGAATAACCACATAATATGAAATTAATGGACATGTAAAGGTTTATAAAATAGCCTTCGTGTTAAGTTTTTGAGAAATGAGCAGTTTAATACTGCACATAACATCAAGATTTAACTGATGGCAAACTATACAACTATTTTCCCCAGGAGAATCAAATATATCACAAAAATAATAGTCAAACGTGAAAAATAAATTAAGTTTTGATGCCCTATTATATTGGGACACTAAATAGAGGTAGGGTTAAGAAAAAGCAACGGTTGTGGATGGCAGTCGCCATAATGCTGCATGTCCAAAGACCACGACCAAACACGTCTTTATTTTTTATTTAACGCCAAAATTTTATTTTTAAGGATGACTGCACAGTGAGAACTCTGCTTAAGACAACAGCATCTGTTTCGGCATTAGCACCACTCAGACTGTCAATCCAGCCAAAACTATTTCTCCAAATCAAGCTCATTCAGAAAGTTATCTACAGCAGGTAAGATATTAAATGATTGTAAAGTCATAAAAGAGATAACTACTCTTGATCAAAAACAGTATTGTGTTGGCGTTTTTGTCGATTTAAAAAAGGCCTTCGACACTATTGACCACATTCTCCTTGAAAAACTGAATAAATATGGCATTAGAGGATTAACACTATGTAATTCAGGGAACAGGATCGTGGAATTGCCTTGATATCACCATAAACATTTATAAAACAATTTATATGTTTAAAAAGATGATTTAAGTTAAAATTGTTGGGAAAGTATGGTGCCATGTGAAGGATGCCCGATGTTTCTGTTTTCACTTAGGAGATGTTCAAGCCTAAGTTGTTGTTTGTTTAAAGTTATATATTTTTTAAAATAAGGGGCAGACATTATAAGAATTTTCTTCTTCTTTCTGCACCCTTTTCATTCAATATGTTTTTCTTTTTGATGAATTTGTTTTATTTATTTTAAACGAATGAATAAATGAATAAAGAAATAAACTGTAACTCCACTACTGAACTGAGACATGAACGCACCATACAGTTATAAACAGATTCAGTGCGGGGGGGTCTCCGGGGTGCAGGAGCTGGCATTAAAGAGACAAGAGAGGACACGTTTACCCAATCAGGATCTTTTATTTGTAACAGAGTGGCAGATTAGTGACAGGGCGGTGGCATGGAGGGGCCGCCTCCTCGCGCTCACTCAGCCAATGACAGAAACTCAGCCTTAAAAAAATGCAAATGTATAAAAACAGGAATGGGAACAGCGAACAGAGAAAAGTGTAGCCTCCACTGGGCTTCACGCACACACACACACACACACACACACACACACACACACGCTCTCTTTCACACACACACGTCTTATTTGGCTACGCAGGCTTGGATGGGTATGAACGAACAACTTTTGACGGTCACTTTAGAAAAGACAGTACGTGCTAAGATCCTTCCTGCCTGTGAGATTAGGTGGCGCCTCGTCCGTCCGTCTGTCCCGAGGCCGACAGACGTCCGAGCCGGACAGACGGTGAAAAGACACGGTCAGTGTGAGGGACGACCAGCCCCACATTCAGTGAACAGACAACACACTCAGGCAGGTGTGGAGTACAGCTGTAAAATACCAAAGTGAAGCTCTCGCTCTCTCTCACACACACACACACACACACACACACATACAGATGAGGTGGCAGGTCTAGACGAGGTGTGGACACACACGCGTCCTCTCACACAGGTGAAAAAGGGGCAGCAGGTTGAACTCACAGCAGTGGAGGTGGTGTGTTACCATCTGTGGAAGAGCGTGAGAACTGCTGGAAAAGGTAAACACACACTCTACCGCAGTACATTCCAGCTTTAACTCACCCCTCTTTAAAACACACACACACACACGTCCGGACAGGTATAGTTGGGACTCCCATGCGATTTTTTTTGTTTGTTCTACAGTACTGAGTATAAGAGAAGCTACTGACCCAGCAACACGGGCGTGGATATTGTTACAATCTATTAGATAGAAGCACTGTGATCTGTTGCTTCACTTCCACCCCCTCCCAAACAAAAAATAAAAATAAAAACTGGTTCCAATGGAGTGTTTTGTAACCAAATAACCACTCTCTGAACGGAGGGGCAATCAGTGGCGGAGGGGGAAATAAACGAGGCATGCAAAACGCAAAGAGGGGATGAACCGACTGGACGTGCAGCTTTTACACAAACCAAAACCAGACTGATCTCGCTCCGACCACAGTTAGCGATGATGATGATGACGATGACCTCAGCAGCTGCGTGTGTAAAAGTGTGTGTGCGTGGAAAGAGCACAGCTCGTCTAAATGTGATGAAGAGAAACGCTTCATGGTCATGCAGATGGTTAGTGACGCCAGAAAGGATACGCTGATATTTACATATAAACTTCTTCTTTAAATGCTAAATACACATCCTCCCGTTTTATTATTATTATTGTTTTATTATTATTACTCGCTGTCCAGCCCCCAGAGAACATTGATATATTATTGAATATTATTACTATCCATAACTAGTCTTTGTACAGCCCAGAGGAGCAGAGGGGGGGGCCGCGGCTCGCTGCTCGTCCTCGAGACGGGACGCTTTGTCCACGGCGGCTTCAGTGACACTGAGAGACACGGCGACGGCCGAGCGCCACGTTCTGGTTGGCCGAGCAGAGCGAGAGGTCAGAGCCAGCTTCCAGCAGATACCAGTGTGTGTGTGTGTGTGTGTGTGTGTAAGCTGTGTTCATGTGGTTGTATAAATGTGTGTGCGTTTGAGCACCGAAGGGACGGAAGGCACAAAAGAAACCTTTCCTCTCACCTTTGACCCTGGTCTCTGCACGGCCAACCAGACGTGCTCCGCCTGAGTTCTCTGCTTCCTCTTCACCTCCTCCTCCTCCTCCTCCTCCTCTCCCTTCTAGGCCTTTTGATTTGTGTGTGCGTGTTGGAAAACACAGATTTTTTTTTTGCTTTTCTTACAAAATAATCATATTACATAGAGAACAAGAGAACCTGCAGGTTATTAATAACAACGGCAACTTTAAAAACATCTGTGTGTACGCGTTATTTCTTTTAATATATTTGGATTTTTTTTGTCCACTTTTTCCCCATTTTCATTGAAAAGAAAGTCCCCAGAGAGAAAGGCGAGGGATGAGGAGATAAGGGGAGTAGGATGATGAAGAGCAGGAGGTGGGGGGGAGGGTTTAGAGTATCTCTCTCTCTCTCTCTCTCTCTCGTCTCGATTCTCCCCCCGGTGCGCCGCGTGTCTGTCTTCGGCGTCTGAGTGTTACGCGTAAAACTCCTCCTGCTTGTCGGGTTTCTGGTAGGTGACGGTGGCCTGTTTGGGTTCCTCCAGCGTGTAGCTGCCCTCGTCCTTCTTCTTCATCCTGTACACCAGCAGCATCACCAGGAAGGCGGCGAACAGGGCGCCCACCACGCCTCCAACAATCACAGCTGGAGCGGGAGAGAAAACAGGCCATCAGTAACGATCAGACGACAACACACAAAGAGCCGCTGCACGCCACAACACACACACTTTTCTACTTCCACTGCACAGCGGAGCTACGTGGCTATATCACCTAGATGCTAAGTGAAAACTGATGAGCCTCGATGTGCCAACGCACACGCCGTGCTGGCAGCGTCTTCATGCTAAATCGCAGCCCTGCGGAGCTACGTGGTTCTTTAAGGCAGAGTTGTTCCTCCTCGCGCAGCTCGCATCTCTAATGAGCCCACGCTGCGAGCGAGAGATTAGTGTTTGGTTATCAAAACGGTCAGAAACTCCCTCGTTAACGCTAACTTGAATTGATGCCAAAGCTGCAAACAAACTGCTACTTTCCAGAGTGATTAAAGAACACTTTGATGATGCTCGGCGTGCGGGGAGAAGCTTGTTTATCCCCCCGCTGCTGTGCTGCAACATGAAGTTCACCTTTCACCTCGTGTGGCCTCATGAAGACACACACACCTTGAAGGCCTGGACTCTAATCTAACATTAAACCATATCAAACCCCTTTAACAGATTTCTGTTAGGCTTGCACCAAGAGTTTATTGTTTAAAGTGTTCAATTAAAATAAAATTGAACGATTTTTGTCACATTTTATTGTCCTTAGAAAATAATTTATGATCATTTTCATTTTCTTTCATTTTTAATCACCTATTTTGACACTACTAAATGACATGTCACCTGCTGCCTTGCGTGCCAACGTTTCAAACTCTTATGCAATCTGTTAGCGCATGTGTTGGCGATGACTCTCGGCTACTACCGCACCAATATTTAGCTCAGAAACAGTAAAACTGACCGAGTTACAGACACTTTCATGGTGGCTGCGGCAGCCATCTTGAATTAGGTTGGTTCTAAAAGTGAAACCAGTTTTAAGTGTGCATCTAATGATCACTTTGAGTACGATGGAGCTTTAAGGCCACGCTAAGAACAAAAAAATTAAAAGCCATAAAATTATGAGCATAAAGTCATAAAAGACTTATCTTTTTTTTAAACAACTGTCGTTGATTATTTTTTCTTCCACAAGTCGGATCCATGATGCGACCTGTCAATCAATCCAGTAGGCGTGTCAACAAATGACCAATCCGAAGCTAAATGAGTTGTAATATTATATGAACTCCGACACAATAAAGCAGGTTTACCGAATTTTAACAGTGGTAAAATGAAGAATGTTTGTTAAAACTTTATTGTTATTGACGCTCTTACTCAAAACGTGTTCCAGTACTGCCACCTACTGTTGTGTTTTTGTATGCTGCTTCTGGGATGTATATACGTGACGTCACGACTTATGTTTTTGTTTACCTTTGAAAACAGAGCTCAGTGAGCAAAACTGTGTACCTGCAGCGCTGTTGGAGGTCTTCAATAAATATACCAGAAAGAGGCTGAAAAGACACAGTGACTCATTTAAAGGAGCATTTAGCTTCGGATTGGTCATTTGCTGACATGCCCACTGAATTGATTGACAGGTGGTGTCGTGGATCTGACTGGACAAAACTTTACGACAGCTGTAAAAAATAAGTCTCATACGACTTTATTCTCGTAATACAATGACTTTTAATACTACTTTATTCTCGTAATACTATGACTTTTAATACTACGACTTTATTTTCGTAATACTAGAACTTTTAATACTACAACTTTATTCTCGTAATACTACGACTTTATTCTCGTAATACTATGACTTTTAATACTACGACTTTATTCTCGTAATACTAT